TTTTGTTCGTGTGGCGAATCATGATTGGAGGATGTTTTGGATACCCCGTCTACATTCAGGAACGGAGCGTATTAGAATGCACTTCCATTTACAAGTCTGTCTAAACTGCTGTTGCGATAACCGTAGTATTTCAGCGTAATATGAGGGGAAAAAGTGCAGGTCAGGAGGACCGGCAGTTTCGTAGAGGTGGTGGCCGAAGCAAAAACTTGGTGGCCTCGGGTGTCCGGGTCGGCACTAATTTCGAACGCTGTTTGCATGCCAGATTTGCAAAAACGCATGGGCACAGTCATATATGGAACCACGCTAACACGGCAACAGGTTTTAAATCAGCATTATCTTCCTTTACATAGGAAAGCCGTGTCCGCCGAGTGTTGCGATAAATCGAAATCGTTAACCCCGAACAGAAATTGTACTCGCCCAAAGATTTTATTTTGGGCCTGTAATATTTTGTTTTGGGTATTTTTTAATCGCCCAGCAGAGGTTTTGGTCGCCATTGGCAACCGGGCGACCGGCTGTGTCGAGCACTGAACTACTGGATACGCCATGTACTGCCTCTTCAAAAATAACATGGAACATCCAGTATATTTGTAAATAGCAGTCAGCTAAACCGTCTGTCTTTAATGTGACCACTTGACCAAATGGTGAAAAAACTACAACATAAAAATAGAGAATACTGTCACAGATGGGCCGGACATGCTTCAGATACTTTCACATAAAACTAACTTCAGTTGCATCGATATGTACTGTAAAGAAATATTGCAAAACAGTAGTGTACTGGCTACATAAATAAGCAGTGTCTTTATGAGACAGCTTCAGTTCACAATTGACTTATCTGACGTACTTACATTGTGGTAAACCAAGCTTTACATAGAGAATCAGCCGACCAAGCTAAATCACGAACAAAAATGGCCAATAGCAAAAACACAAGAGCCTCACGTAGTTTAAGGTCAGAGGGCATACGGTAATAACATACAGGGTAATACCCTGTAACAGCACACGCGATATTTTTTGCGTACAGATATTTTCGCGAATTCAGACTTAATGGACAATTTCGCAAGTGGTTAATTTCGTGGTCGGTGGCTTATGAATTATTTGGTATGGATTATTTGCGTGTTGTTATTTTCGTGGTAGGGCACGCGTTCACGAAATTCGCGAAAATTAAACCTCCGCAAAATATACAGCGTAACAGTAACCCGTGTCTTGCTTGCT